TGAGTCTTCCATGCTCCTGTAACTCACCCCCAATAAACTCATTGGTTTAAACTCACACTAAATTTGAATAGAATCTTTTTTTTTTTTTTTTTGGTCTGTGGCTGGTATCTTATACAGGATGAATAAATACTTTCCCACAACTCCTGTGGTGGTTTGAATTGTTATGGCCTCTATAGACCCATGTGTTTGAATGCTTGGTCCATAGGAATTGACACTATTAGTAGGTGTGGCCTTGTTGGAGTGGGTGTGGCATTGTTGCAGGACTTGTGTCATATAAGGCTTTGAGGTCTTATAAGCTCAAGTCTGGCCAGTGTGGCACACAGTCTCCTGCTGCCTGCAGACCAAGATGTAGAACTCTCAGCTCCTTCTCCAGCACCATGTCTGCCTGCTCACAGCCATATCCCATCATGATGATAATGAACTAAACTTCTGAAACTGTAAGCCATGCACAGTTAAATGTTTTTCTTTATAAGAGTTGCCATGGTCATGCTAGGACCTAGGTCCTGAGGCACAATCCATGCCCAGGAACCCCCACCCATTGCTGCCTCAGTTGCCGACCAGCGGGGAAGACTCCTTCAGGCAGGCTTCCCCACCAACACTCATCATCAGCCCTGCAATCTACAAGACCCACACCCTACCTCAAATCCACCCATCCCCCTGCGGCCTCAGCAGCTCCCTGAGACACAGAATCTGCCAGCTCCAATTAGACCAAGAGCTATGATTGGACCAAGAATGGCCCCTGGAAACACAGACACAGCAAGCACAGATTGGACCAAGAGCTGCTCGCTCAGACACAGGCACCTCTTGCACCTGTTGGAAGAAGAGATGGGTAGACACCAGTGCAAAAATACATACAACAGCATAAAGAGGAATATGGCACCACCAGAACCAGAGGTTCTACAACAGCAAGACCCGAACATCACAATGTAGAAGCAGCGGCAGAAGAAAATGACCTTAAAAGTAACTTTATGAAGATGATAGAGGCCTTTAAAGAGGAAATGAAAAATTCCCTTAAAGAAATTGAGGAAAAAAACAAACAAAAAATTGAAAGAAATCAGTAAATCCTTAAAGAAAGCCAGAAAAAAAAAAAAAAACAAGAAAAAAGCAACTAAACAGGTGAAGGAAACAGTTCAAGACCTGAAAATTGAAATAGAAGCGATATAGAAGACACAAACCGAGGGAATGCTGGAAACAGAAAATCTAAGTAAACAAACTGCAACTACCAATGCAAGCACAACCAACAGAATACAAGAGATGAAGACAGAACCTCTGGTGTAGAGGATACAATAGAGGAAATAAATCTGTCAGTCAAAGGAAACACCAAAGCCAAAAAAGTCATAACACAAAATGTCCAGGAAATGTGGGACACCATGAAAAGGCCAAACCTAAGAATAATAGGGATAGAAGAAGGAGAAGAATACCAATTCAAAGGCACAGAAATATATTCAACAAAATCATAGAAGAAAACTTTCCCTATGAAGATACAAGAAGCTTATAGAACACCAAATAGACTAGATTCCCCCAAAAATCCCTTTGCCACATAATAATTAAACCACTAAACATACAGAATAAAGAAAGACTATTAAGAACAGCAAAGGAAAAAGGCCAAGTGACTTATAAAGGCAGACCCATCAGAATAATACCTGACTTCTCAATGGAGACTCTGAAATCCAGAAGGTCCTGGACAGACATAATGCAGACACAGACACTAAGAGACCACAAATGCCAGCCCAGACTACTATGCCCAGCAAAACTTTCAATCACCATAGACGGAGTGAACAAGACATGACAAAACAAAAGCAGATTCAAACAATACCTATCCACAAATCCAGCCCCACAAAAAGCACTAGAAGGAAAACTCCAACCTAAGGAAGTTAGATGCACCCACAAAAACACAGATAGCAGATAACCCCACAGCAGTATATCCCAAAGAAGGGAAATACATATGCATTACCACCAAAAGATAATAGCAATTAACGATCACTGGTCATTAATATCCCTTAATATCAATGGACTCAATTTGCATATAAAAAGACACAGGCTAACAGAATGGATATGAAAACAGGATCCATCCTTCTGCTGCATACAAGAAACACATCTCAACTTCAAAGACAGACACCACCTCAGAGTAAAAGGCTAAGAAAAGACTTTCCAATCAAATGGACTTAAGAAGCAAGCTGGTGTAACTATCCTAATATCTAACAAGATAGACTTCAAACTAAAATTAATTAAAAGAGATCAGGAAGGACATTATATATTTATCACAGGAAAGATCCACAAGATAAAGTCTCAATTATGAACATTTATGCCCTAAATACAAGGGCACCCACATATGTAAAAGAAACATTACTAATCACAATCAAACCCCACACACTAGTGGTGGGAGACTTCAACACCCCACTCTCACCAATAGCCAGATCTGCCAGTCAGAAACCTAACAGAGAAATAAGGAATCTAACAGATATTATGACTCAAATGGACTTAATAGATATCTACAGAACATTACACCCTAAAACAAAAGAATAGACCTTCTTCTCAGCATCCTATGGAACCTTCTCTAAAACTGACCACATACTTGGTCACAAAGCAAATATCAACAGATTAAAAAAAATCAAAACTGGAATAACTTCCTGTATTTTATTGGACCACTATGGCTTAAAAGTTAGATTTCGCCGGGCGGTGGTGGCGCACGCCTTTAATCCCAGCACTCTGGAGGCAGAGGCAGGTGGATCTCTGTGAGTTCGAGGCCAGCCTGGACTACCAAGTGAGTTCCAGGAAAGGCGCAAAGCTACACAGAGAAACCCTGTCTTGAAAAAAAGAAAAAAAAAAAAAAGTTACATTTCAACAACAACAAAAATTACCGAAAGAGTTGTCATGGTCATGGTGTCTCTTTATAGCAATAGAAACCCTAACTAAGAGAACTCCTCAGTGAAAGAGTCAAGGTCACACATCATCAGATGGGTTACCATCAGAGAACATCAAACATGACTACAAATACAGGGGTGCTTATTAATCCTTGGAAATTGGGGGATATAGCTGTTCAGATAACTAAGTCAATGCACAGTAAATTAAGGGCATATAGAAAATTCCTTTTGAATTAGTAGACTCAATTTGGTATTTATATGTCTCTCTAAGGAAGTGATCTACAGCTAGTCTCACAACAGCCCACCCCTTTACACCTGTAAAATGTAGAAGTGTGCAGAATATATTGTCTGTCTATATTCTGGGGACCCTAGAGTCCAGGTTAAGACTTAAGAATGCCTGGCCTCGAGTAGCAAAATAGTCCTACTTCAGGCAGAGTCAGGCTGAAAGTTTTACTTCCATTAATGAAAAAAAGGGGTCTGGAGGGATGTGGGTGGAACACGGTGGAGGAATACTTGCCTTACATGAGCAAGGTTCTGAGGGCCCATCCCTAGCACTGCAAATAAACAGTCTTTTATAAAGGAGTTGTGTAGTGATATATTGTGTACCTTAATAAGCATGCCTGAGGATCAAAGGACAGAGCCAGGCACTAGATTACACACAGAGGCCAGGCAGCGGTGGCACACACCCTTAATCCTATCGCTCAGGAGGCAGAGATCATCTGGATCTCTGTGAGTTCAAGGCCACACTGGAAACAGAGCCTGGCAGTGGTGGCACACGCCTTTATTACCAGTACTGGGAAGCACACATGCCTTTAATCTCAGGAAGTGATGTCTGGACAGGGAAAAGTATATAAGGCGTGAGGAAGCAGGAACTCACCCTCTTTAGGCTGAGGATTTCATAGAGGTAAGAACTAGTGGCTGGCTGCTCTGCTTCTCTGATCTTTCAGCTCTCACCCTGATATCTAGCTCTGTTTTTTATTAAAAGATCATCTAAGATTTGAACAACAGAGATGAGCCTGCATTAGCAAACACAGCAGGAAAAGCCAATGCCACACAGGCTGCTGAGGCCCACTCACAGATGGCTCAGGACTATGTCTGAATAGAAGACACTGGCATCCCTCGTCTTAGACCTGGCTTTGCCAAGGCCACTGCATAGCAGGAAGACATATCTAACAATTTCCAAAAATCCCTTTTCTCCGACTCCACAGTCACCACACAACCTCCTAACTGAATGTTTCTCTTTATTATAGATCTGCCCACACACAGCACTCTGGCTTTCCCAGGATAAACATTCCAGTGTGTGTGTCAGTCACAGCCCGCAGTGGAGACAAAGCGGCAAGCTGTCTTAAACCTCTCTCTTGCTCCAGTCCCACCTCGTGTGTGTGTGAGTGTGTGAGTGTGTGTGTGTGAGAGAGAGAGAGACAGAGACAGAGACAGAGAGAAGAACCTGCTAGTGAGTTAGTGTGTTTGTACATGTGCATGCAAGTTCTTATGTATGACCAAGTCGGAGGTTGACACTGGCTGCTTTCTTTACTCACTCTTCACCTTATCTTTTGAGACAGGGTTTCTCACTGACTAGCAAAACTAGCAAACTCTAGGAATCTACCTGTCTTTGCATCCTACCCAACAGAGCCGGGGTTACAGGCCCATGCTACTGTGCCCAGCTTTCTTATTTATTATTTATTTATTTATTTATTTATTTATTTATTTATTTATTTATTTATTTATTTATGGTTTTTCGAGACAGGGTTTCTCTGTGTAGCTTTTCGTGTAGCCCAGGTTGACCTCGAACTCACAGAGATCCGCCTGGCTCTGCTTCCCGAGTGCTGGGATTAAAGGTGTGCGTCACCACTGCCTGGCTTTCTTTTTCTTTTTTCTTTTTATGTGCATGTTTTAGATCTGAACTTAGGTCCTTGTGTTTGCAGAGCCAAGACTTTACTGGCTGAGCCATCTCCCCAATCCTGGCATCAGTCTTACCATATGGCATGAGCTCACTTTGAGAATCAGATGGATGGGAGAGGACTAGAAACCAGAATGTGAGTTCATCACGATGATGGATAGAACACTAAAATGCTAGCTGTCACCTTCTGGATATTGTTGGCCAAATACCTTCATACTGGAAATGATAATACTTACCTTTTACAGGACAGTGGATTGTCACATTCGCCTGAAGGGCTGCCTCCACAGTGCCTCCCACCACAACAGACAGATGGCTGTGTTCCGGTTTTGTGACATTTCTTTCCATAGACAAGATGACAGGTGCCTCTTAATTCAAAGGGAGCAGAAACTATGTTAGGTTTAAGCTCTTGTTCATTGACAAGCATCGTTGATTTGCTGAAAGCAGGGAAGAGTGCTGGTCTCTTTAATCCCTGCAGTGCACACAGACAAGCACACACACAGCTAGAGGTACTCAGTGCAGAGATGATGGATGGATGCGTGCGTGGATAAGAGGATGGATGGATGGGTGAATGGATGGATGGATGGATGGGTGGATGGATGGATGGATGGATGGGGAGATGGATGGATGGATGGATGGGTGCATGGATGGGAGGATGGATGGATGCATGGATGCATTGATGGATGCATGGGTGGGTGGGGGATGGAAGTGTGGGTAGGTGGGTGGTGGGTGGATTGTAACAATGTATAAAGTGAAGATATTTTATCTTCATAACCAAAATTAAGGCTAACTCCTTCTTGATCATTTCACAAAGAAAGATTCAAGTTGCAAAACTGCATGGCAGGGCAGAATAGAATCTCTCACATGCAGCCCCAGATGAGTTGATGTGGGCCTAAAACACCAGGGGTTGTGAAAGAGGGGTGTGGGATAGGGCAGTGGATCCTGAGCTATCCTGGTGCCCTTGGAAAGCGTTATTCTGGATGGAGAAGGCTCTCCAAGGCCTCTCCCACTGAGGTAAGAGTAAGCCAAGGCTCAGCTAACATGTACAAAGCATCCCACTGTGCTCTCTGCTCAGCAGCAACAAGACCAGAGCTACTCTTTAATCAATAATCACAAAACCTGCCTGTGCACAAGGTGATGCAATCAGACATTTGAACAACAATATAGTTCCTAAAAAAAAACCATATACAGTTTTCTTTTAGGTCCAGAGACAGACTGACTTGCCAATCACAGAAAAAATGTAGGGTTCGGGGTTCATTAAAGCTGTACTGCGAAAGACTAGATAGGCAGGAGCTCACAACTCTTATTAATTTCTTTCTTTTTTTTTTTTTTTTTTTGGTTTTTCGAGACAGGGTTTCTCTGTGTAGCTTTGCGCCTTTCCTGGAACTCACTTGGTAGTCCAGGCTGGCCTCGAACTCACAGAGATCCGCCTGGCTCTGCCTCCTGAGTGCTGGGATTAAAGGCGTGCGCCACCACCGCCCAGCAATTTATTTCTAACCATGAACATGTACAAAGTGTGTTCCTGCTGGATTATAGTAGGAATCCCGGTAAAAGTACTGAGTGATCTCAGAGTCATTCACCCCACAGTGTGTGGCTCAGAGACTCCCCTTCTCACACCATCTAAATAAATTCATGTCCCTCAAAATAGTAAAACTGTCACTCTTGAAAGGCTATTGGCTGCTGAGGTGCATCCTTAAGACAATTCTCACACCTCTTTACTCTGCAGAAATTTTTCATTTAAAAAATCATATTAAGCTATCTCAAGTGGATTAGCACTGTTTGGAGAAGTCAGAACTTGGCATTTTAATTAATGTGAAACAAATAACTACATAAAACTTGTATTGAAGAAATAATAAAGACAAAACCACAGAGTCAGGAATTCATTCAAGGACTTTCACTCCTTGAAATTTAATAATTAATGGATTTATTCATCAATTTAGGACACTTGCTTTACCCACCTATGTGCGTAATTTGTGTGAAGTAGACAATGAAAATCTAAAATAAGAACACATGCAATCTTGTTCTCAAGAAGCCCAGGCTACAGAAAGTTCCATTCTTTCTTGGAATGCCTGGGGCATAGAAAGTTATCCTGGGGGTGTGTGTGGAAATGATGGGAAGCCTTTGGGTAGAAGGAATCTGCGGTTGTCACAGCTCATCCTCTGGCTTATGGGAACATCACATCAGCTCTATCAAAAGTCTAGGTTATCTGGGGATGGACTTAGAGCAGACTTAGTAGCACCGGCAGAGGAGGTGTCTCCTCTTCACTACAGGAACTACCTCGATTTGTGCTTGCTTGAAAGGAGCTAATGATTGCAGGCAGGCACAACAGTCGAGGAGAAAACAAAGGCCTGAAACAGGGGTTCTTAACCTGTAGGTCACAACCCCTTGGGGGTCAAACAACCCTTTCACAGAGGTTGCCTAAGACCATCAGAAAACATAGGTATTTACATTATGATTCATAACAGTAGCAAAATTACAGTTATGAAGTAGCAATGCAAATAATTTTATGGTTGGGGGTCACCACAACATGAGGGACTGTATTAAAGGGTTGCAGCATCAGAAAGGTTGAGAATCACGGGCCTGAAGGCTCTGCCTTGGGAAGGCAGTCATCCTCAAGTCATCCAGACCCAAGAAACTTTTAACACCAACAGGTTCAACTTTCTCAGCTTGTGGATGACAAGCATCTGCCATTAAGCTTAGCATCTAGGTGACCAAACTGGGTTCTAACCCATGATGTCATCTCTATTCTCCCTTGGTCCATTTGAGTCACAATGAGAAGAAAAGAGAGTAGTGAGCTGGGGGATGGCTCTCTTGTTTATGTCTAGTCCTAGAATATAATCTTGCCCCAGGGAATTACTGCCTACAATGCAAACAGTTAACAATGATCTTCTATTGTAAAAAATATTTTGTTACAAAATGACCATGTCTAGTGCCTATGAAGATGTATACTGATGTAAAATTACAATCCCTGGGGGTGGGGGGGAGTGCTGGCTAAGGAGTGGCGGTATGTCACTGAGAGAAAAGTGCCAACTTTCAAGACTAGTGGTTCTCACTCCTCAGCTGATGGAACTTAAAAAAGTCAGTAACGTCAACACTACCAATGAACTTCCATCTCATTAATTCCCGATTTGTGGAAAGTAAGCCTTAGAGCCATTGTTTCCAGAGAGTTGGTGTAAACTAGGAACATGTTCAAAAGAGCAAGCGTCAAATGCATTCCAAACCCACTAAGGCAATGCTCTAGGCAGCGTCCAGCAACCAGTGCTTGAACAAGCCCTGTGCCCTTGGGATACATACTCAGGCTTTGGAGTGCTAGGGTTTCGGGTGATACACAAAGCTACTACAAGACCCCAGACACTGTAGGCTTCTGTCACGGGCATTACCTGCATATAACACCAATGAACTTTCCACATCTGAACCGAGACGATCAGCTATGGAACATTCATATATCCCTTGCTCTTTCTTTGTAGGATTTTTTATCTGTATCTTCCCAGGTTCATCCAAAATGATCCTGTAAAAGAGTTAATATGAGTTAAATGAGAATATAACTCAAGGGACACACATAATTGCTGTAGGGCCATCGCAGGTTATGGAGAATGGAGACTGCAAATTTATAGGCTTTGGTCTGGCATGGAGCCTGAAAGGTAATCATGTCCAACCCCCTGCTTCAAGGAAGAAACTGCATATATGGAAGAGTGGGGAAGGCTTTCCTCTTGCATTAGATCAGAGAGCACTTACAACAGGCTGGGACATGGACATATTGGCTTCTATTTTAATTTTATTAGAGTTAAAAAAAATCAATGGCAGACCAGCTGTACATCTCAGCAGCTTCCTGGAAGAGGAGAATGGCAGACGGAGAAAAAACACCATGCCACTGAGTTAAACAGACACAGATGTCAGATTCACGGTCACAGTGGAGTCACGTGGCAGAATTGGGGCCTTTAGAGAAAGAGCAAGGAAGTTCCGACTATAAGGGAAAAACAAAAGAAATATGCGTAGGTTTAGGTTCTCGCTAGCATCCAAGAGAGACAGGGTAAGGAAAGAAAAGGAAGTTCCATCTTCCTGAGTCAGACCCAGAACCTCACTGCAACCACAATGGTGTGTGGACACTGTCCCAGAGGGCAGGAATTCTGGGAAGGAAACGTAAAATACCTCACTTAAGCAGGCAATTAGTCCACTGATCCCTTCAGTATGGCTTAAGGTGAGCCTGCCCTGCTAAGGGCAGTCTCACCTGCTTGAGGGATAGTCCCTTGGTCAGGTGATTGACTCGCCAAACTTGAAATGTTAGGTCTCTACTGAGGCCAATGATTCTAGTCTGTTGACCAGGAGTTTTTCCTTAATGGGCCTTTATCACGCTTTAACAATACTAAGTTAATTAAGCTAGTCTCAGAAAGGCAAATATTCCGGGTTTTTCTTTTTCCCATTTGTTGTTCCTAGATTGTGTATAGATACATAAAGTCTCTCTCTCTCTCTCTCTCTCTCTCTCTCTCTCTCTCCTCTCACACACACACACACACACACACACACACACACACACACACACACACACACACACACGAAAGAAGTAAAACTGTTCAGGCAGATAAAAGAGAATGAGAGAAAGCACAGTTTTTAGGAGAAGAAATCTGAAAATCTTTCCAAGAAAACTAGACTAGGCCACGGTAAGGTACTATCAAGGACACACTGTGTTCTTGGTTGACTCACTTTCCAGAGGGCTGCAGCAAGGCTCCGTCCTTGGTCCATGTATATGTGGCCTCAGGGCTGTGAGTAACAAGACTGCAAAGTATATTGATGAGCTCCGTGCTTTTTGTAATGTACACTGTATTCCCAATCCGTGCGTTTATTGTTTTGTTAAATGAAACTGTAGGGGGTAGGGTCTGCCTCATGAGAACCGGTCCTTTTGGCTTCAAAGTCAGCTTGCCTGAGTTTTTCACTGTGGGGCTTTGGGGAACTCTTCCTGTCTCCCCTCCGAGCTGAGCCTCAGGAGCAATCTCCTCGTGGATGGCCCTCCACTGGACAGGCATCGGCTGAGCCTTGGCCAGCTCAGCTACCAGCTGATAGATCATCTGGGACGCCAGGTCATCGCTGGCTTCTCCTGTCTCCATAAGCTGGCTCATGTTTCGTATAAGCTCATCAAACTGGGCTGTGTCCATGCTGTAGGCCCCCTGTTTCATGGCTGCCTCAAACTGCTTGCTCTTGAACTCCCAGGAGTTAGTGTTTCCTGCAGACGTCCTGCACGGCCCCAACAGAGCTCTCAAGAAAGGCTGGTTGCTGATTGCCCCATCGTGCAGGTAAAGCTCGTTTTTGTTATTCCACATCTGACGCATTTTATGCCACGTGGCTCCCAAACTGTTGGCTTCACTGTGGTCCACCCCAGAGTGGCCCCGCATGTGCTCTCTGAGGGATGGGTGTGCAATGAGTCTGTTATCGGTCCCAATGAGCTTGAGAACAACCGTCTCCTGGGCAGAGCCTGCAATACACCTGTACACACCGATGTCAGGGGCTGCAAGGCTGTGGATTTTCAGGGAGCCCGACTTGGTGATGCCAAGCTGTTTGGAATTCTGCAGACAATGGCCATCCTTCTCCCACTGGATCAGAGATTTCTGGAAGCGTCTTACTGGGCATTTGATGATCACAGATGTATTGAGCAGCAAGTAGGCTCTACTGCCGACGGTCAGGTTGATCCGTTTCTCCTCCCTCGTCTGAATATAGACTCTCCGGACACCGAGAATCTGGGGGCCCCGCTCTCCAAGCCGTGTCTTCGTCCCAAGTTTCACTTCTGCAGGGAAAAAAAAGTAAAGGAAAGAAACTGAGAGAAACCACTCACAAATAAAGGTGATTGACAGCAAATTTCTGAGGTTGACTGATCTAGGCCTACTAATACAACTTTTTTAAAAAAAAAAATTCTTTAGAAATTGTGAATTAAAACAAGAAAAACATCTTACATCCATACTTGGAGTAAACTTCACAGCTGTCGAGTGTTTAAGCAAGGATGCATGCAAGTTTGAACATGTTGTTTGGAAATAAAATATGTAAGTTATTTTATGAAGCCCTGGTTTGGCAGGCATGAGGTTAAATGACTTAGTGAAACAGAGGGAAAGGTTCGTCTAGAGTTGAGAGATGTTTGTTCTTTGCCACAATGGAGTGATGGCTTGACTAGTCCCCAGTGTCTGGGGACAAGTCTCCATCCACAGGAAGCTTCTGCAGTATGCTGGCCACCCACCCACTGTTGGGGTGGCCCTCGGTGTAGTGGACCACAGCTACACTAAATCTGTGGGAAGAAGTGAGAGAAGGTGAGGAATACATTCAGGAAGTCTGGAAAGGAGGGGGTGGACGAAGTTCAGAATCTAGGCCAAATATGTCATCTCAACCATGAGGGGAGTCGGAGGACATAGAGGAGCATGTTCAAAATAGAAAGGTAAGGCTCTCAGGAATCCACAGGGTTGACCCCACCTTGGTCTGCTGGCAGTGGTCCAGAGGGTGCCTGGACCGGTCTACTCTGGTGACCAGCCTAGCAAATAACCTAGCTGTCATCATAGAGCCTTTGTCTAGTGACAGATGGAGGCAGATACAGAGATACATGGCCAGGCACCAGGCTGAGTTCCGGGAATCCAACTGATGAGAGAGAGGAGAGATACTGCAGGCGAGGGACATCGAGATCATGATGGGAGGACATGCAGAGATGACCGGCCACACTAGTGGAAGCCCATAAACTGTGGACTGGTGGCTGTGGAGGCCCCATGGGACTGGACTAGGCCCTCTGGACACAGAAGACAGTTGTTTAGCATGAACTGTTTGGGGGGCATCCAGGCAGGGGGATCAGGATCTGTCCCTGGTGCATGGGCAGGCTTCTGGGGATCTGGTGCCTGTGGTGTGACACCTTGCACAGCCTTGGTGCAGTGGGAAGGGACTTGGACCTGCCTAGGCTCAGTGTGCTGGGCTCTGCTGACTCCCCATGGGAGACCTCTATTTGGGGGATGTGGAGATGCAGGGTGGCTTGGGAAAGAGGGCTGGGGGGTGGGAGGAGGAAGGAGGGGGGTCTGTGGATAGCATGAGGAGTGAGTAGAAAATTTCTTAATAAAGAAAAAATATGCAAGAGAAAAAAATAGAAAGGTATAACAGAATAGGGGCTTTAAAGCCAGACATCTCTGAGTTTGAATCCCAGCTTTGCCTGTAGAATGTGCCCGTAAGTCTCCCTGAGTCTCTGTCTTGCCTGCAAAATGCAAATGATGGTAGGCATTTCACTCATCAGACGAGTGTGAGAGTTAAGTCCATTTGCTTAGATCACATGTACCTTTCAGCAGCAGGCACACTTGGGCTCTCATGCCTGATGCCTTCAACCAGCTGCCAGATGACAACGGCAGCCCAGAAGCAATGAGGCAGAGTGAGAGGGAACCAGAGTTGGGGCTGAGCTTCATTTGTTCCCATTGGCTCTAGTTGACAAAAGGTTATATACCTACAATCCTGTCCCCGAAGGCACCAGCTTTTTCTCTTGCTTTTACTGAGAACTCATGTATTCCGGGGTGATGTAGGAGGCACTCTTGGCCCAGTTTCTTCTACTAAGGGACAGCGATGAGCTGCTACTAGTGAGGAGATAAGTAAGAGCAGGTGTGTTGTCTGTGAGCATCCTGCCCACGTCTCTGCCACATACATGTCCTTTCCTAAGATGGTGGCAGGAGCACTTTGATCTGATCTTAGCATCAGGTGTTATAGTACTTTGCTTATTAAGTCATACCTGTGTGTAACCAGGTTTCTCAGGATGCATGGGCAATGGATAGCCTTGCAACTCAGTCTTTAAGAACAATGCCAAGTCCAACACTGGGATTCATGGAATGGTATAAAGTGCAGAGAAAGATTCTTTCTGGACAGTAGAGTCCTCTACTGAAGAGTGCATTTTGACTAGTGTGGCACAGAACTCTATACAGGGAACTATCTAGTTGAATGATTCAGGCTGGGGACAATACCTAAATGGTGTGAGGTCCAGAGAGCAGTTTGATTCCTGGGGTCCAATGACCCAATATGGACACGTGCCTACCAATAGCCTTCAAGATGTCTCTCATCCAAGCTTAGAGTTGATAGCTCCTGATTCCGTCCAAGGCAGGCCATGAAGCCTTCAGGTGGCAGGCAGGGCTCAGCTTTGGGTAGAGCACCTAGTACTTGACCAATGAAGCATGAAAGCCGGATGCCCCTCTGGCTACATACCCATTCATGGGAGACAAACCCTATGGTCCCACTCATCCCCTTCCCAGTCCTGCCTTGGCAGTTGCTCACACTGAGGGTACAGAGCAGTTCAGACAGCAGAGAGCCGGGGGTGGGTTGAGATTATCCCGCAGTCAGACACTCCCAAGACTCAGAAGGCTGCTAGGCTCCATTTCTTCAGCCCATTTCCCCTTTGGTTCTCCTGTAAGTCCCTTCAGAGCAGACCCCTAGAGTGCGTTATCATTGGGCCAGCTCTTGGGGAAAAAAGACTGGTTTGGGCTTTCTGTCTCTCTCACATCTGGAACTATTCCAACACTGTAAAACTGGCCAAGCCCGATGAGACCAGGGCATCATCATCTACCCTACAGCATGGTCAGGGATGGACGGCATCTTTTTGGATGGGCTTCTGGGCTTCTACCTCTCCCACTATTTCAGGGTATGAGGTACCACATCTTTGGCTTTTATAAAATGTGAAACCCTTTCTTCTATATGTCTTCCTTCTGGGTCTTTGAGCCAGCCTGACATAAAGGCCAACTCCAGGTGCCAGGACATGTACAGCACATGCTCAGTACCTCCACACCTGCCCTCCCTTCTCTATTTGTATTCCTGCCATTGCTCTAAGCCTGGGAAGCATGCCTGATTTCTGCCCCATGCCATCCTGGCTGCAATTTACACTTGGTTCCTCTTGCCACTCCTTAATGGGCTTTGGCCATGCCCCAGCCCTTAAAGCCTTCCTATTTTCCTGCTGGAACCCTCTTAGACTCTGGACCTCAGTCTGGCCATTTGGCTGGTACTGGTTTCCTCTCCTTCCATTAGGCATGGCAATCCAGCAAGACAAGCTCATCTGAATCTATGTCAAGAATTTGAGGAGTTAGATTCTGGATGTTCTTTAGACTTCTTTGAGGGCTACTGACCAGAGGCCACAGGAATGCTGTGGGTGGGACTTGCTAAATGAGTTAAGATGCCCTTGAGACCCCATAACCATGGTATGGCCCAAATCAGCCTGAAAGAATAGCTCCCACTTACTTGCTTCTGTTTTACTACTAACCAACTCCAGCCTGGCTTCTATTCCTATCACCACACTAATATTCTCAGGAAAAGGCCACCAATGATCCCTAGTGATAAATCCATCACCTTCAAATTCTTACCTATACACTTCCGTCCCTAATAAGATCTGCTCAGTTGTGTTACTGTCTGAAAGGTGACTGACACTGGGTGTGAGGAACTCACTTGAGTTCAGTCAGAGGCTGAGTCCTGCCAGTGTCTCATCATGTGACACAGGCAAGCTATGATAGCCGTCTCCTTAAAGGACTGGTAGCTGGAGCTGCCTCAGAAGGTTCACAAATGACTGCCTAAAAATTTACAAACAGGGCTAGGCACAAACTGCAAACTCAGAAATACTAGTCAAGGGTGTGGCTTGTCCTAAAGTGAAAAGAACATCAGCTGACAGATATGACAGAGTGAAAACTTGAACTTTTAAGGGCCAAGTCTGAGGAGGTGCCTTGCAGAGAATGTGTGCCCGTGAACAGCTGGAGTGCAATTAGATTATATGGTGTACTGCTGGCCTTTAGGGTAGCACAAGACATCCTTCCTACCAGCCTCCAACTCCAGTGCACCCCAAAATAGCCAAAATGAAGAGCAAGAAAAAGCAAACCTCTCCAAGAACATGCATTTTACCTAAACCCAGGACACTGTTCAGTGCAGATATTCTAAAATGATGTCTGGTGAGAGGCCACAGCACAGTCAGGCTTGGCTTCTTTTGTCTATAGACTTCAATTATGGAGAGGTTAGGCTTATGTAAGAACGTATATTTTCCAGTTTGGGGAAGGAGCAGTGTGGATTTGAGGTGAAGGAGAGAGGAAAGGCAAAAGTACGTTGTGCTAATGCAGCCTTGCTGTCACCAATGGGTAAATGATGAGATCATTCGCAATGATGAGGTGGCATGGTCATGGGAAAATAGCTACTCTGAAGAATTTGTAGTGATTTCTTAGTAAACGTGAGGTAGCCCACACTATCGCCCAGCTTATTTCAGACAGCATAAATATGCCTGTCTCACTGGCAGGGTCGCATTATTTATTCTTAGAAATCCCAGTAACTCAAGCCAGGGAAAGAAAAGCAGACAAGAAAATCACTTGAAAGCAACGCTAAGGTTAAAGAGAAGCAGGGACTCTGGCTGTAGGTTTAAAGAAAGGCATACATCTGGCAACAGGGTTGGTTAAGTGGATGACCAGAAAAGCCAGCTAGGTAGCCTGAGTTCTAGTACAAGAGCAGAAGGTTGGGAAGTAACAGGGTATGTGGAAGTTCCAGAGGTTTCAGACATTAAGCAAATAGGGCATAACAGCCAAAAGCCTGGGTGTCACTCAGCCATGGTGATGGCATGGAAGAATTGCTGAGGTTGGGGATGGGGATATTATGTATCAGAAAGATCATCAATAAGGAACTTGGCTGTCCTGTGTAGTGGCAACTGTTGGAAAGGAAGACAGGACCTGCTGGTGCATTCTATAGTAAAATAGAAAGTATCTTGAAGATTCCCCTAGTGAACCTTGTAATGCCTAAGGAGAATGGCTGAAATGGCAAACACGTGAGGCAAGAACCCAGCAACAGACACAGATGAGGATGGAGAATGTCCTGCTCATCACCTCAGAGGCAGTGCTGGGGAGAGAACAGTCCATGAATGTTCAGAGAGAGCTAATCACAGCATGGCCAAGCAAGCACCATCAATCAGGGGTGATGACCTGAGACCAGACAGTGGCAGAACTGGAGGTCAGCTCAGGTGACTGGCTATTATTTTTTATGTTTCCTGTCGCTTCTGTGGCCTACATGGTCAGCATACTAGGGAATACAGTGGGGTAAAGAAAAATGCCTTGTTTTTCTTGTTAGGTTTTCCTCCCCAATGCTTGCGAAATTCTTCTCGCCCCTGAATGCCAGAATGATTTATAATCCCATCCTGTATATCACGTGTCCCAATGATCACGATGTAGCCCTACATAGTATTCTGTCTATTTTCAACGCGGCTGCTGGTTATGACATTAATATCATTTTCCTCTAAGGCACTTTACAGCCTAGTCGCACTGATAGAAATCAGGTAGGCAAGTGACTAAAACAAACACCATGCTGTGCCATTCACCACAGACATTCCTGATTTCCAGGAGGCTTTAAAACTTAGAATCTCAGGCTTTTAGAATGTCAAGATTTTGAAAATATGTTCTCAAAGTATTCCCAGAAAAAAAAAATGTTAGTGTCCATGAATCAGCAGAGAGCAGCGGCTAAGAGCGTGGGCTCAAGAGTCAGACAGACTTGTAGTCAAAGAGGCCGAAGGGTCCAACTGGCAGTCCTGGAGTCTCGGATAAAACTCGGGTCTTGCCTCACTCTTGCATGCCTTGTCTCTACATGAGGATACTGTCTATGACTCTCAACTTTGCTGGGGAGACTACATGAGACAAATATGCAAGGTGCTTTCCGTGGTGGGAGGTGATCGACAAACACCACGACTTTTCAACTGACCTTGACGCTTGGATTGCTCTGTTTTGTGAGTTTCTCCAGGAAATACCGTCAATTAACCAAGGACACACACATACACAGCAACGGCAAAGTGATAATAGTTCATCCCTCCTTTGTCTCACTACAGGCCAGCTCAGAGGGGCTGCACGACACAGTGCATGCTGTTTTACACGTTAATGAAGACAATAAAAAGCAAGGCAGAGACTGGCCCCCCGAAGCTGTTACCTCAGGGTCCCCACTCCCGTCTTTACACCTTCCTGCTGCCTGTTTGCAGCTGCTGCCTCGACAGTCCTGATCTCACTGGTTGTGCTCCTCTCACGTGATACATACACACGAGTGTATAGACACGCATCCTCTCACACACACGAGTATGCTTCATGCAGATTGCCTTTGAACAGACTGAAAGCATGCTGCTGACGTCATAGCAAGCGTCGTGATTTATAACGAATTGGCAAGATATCCAATCTGCCATCGACTTAAAGCGTGCTTTTATGCCAACTGGTTTTGATTCCTACAAACTAAAAACGAACATTAAAGTACATTTTGTCACATACTCAGCTCTTCTACTTTTAATAATGTGAATACAGATACACTTCGGGCAAAGTAAGCCAAGGAGCACTTCAGCTTGGTCCCTACAAGGTACGCTCCTGAGCAGACATTCCTTAAAATGGACTTAAAATTCTTTCTAGGTCTCCCCAGTCCTAACATTCGCCGCTGAAAACAGGTTGGAGTTTCGCTTGGTGGCTTCAGCCCCAGAGTTGAGCTAGGCTGAGGGATGAAATGGGAAAGGAAGATGTAAGCATGGCGGCGGCTGCTCACTTACTGCTGCACACGGGCATCTGGCAAGGTCTCACGAGGGGGCGTCCCGGAAGGCCCCTGCACTGGGTCTCACCGAGGGGGACTCGCCGGCCTTTGGCAGTCAGCTTTTGACACACCTGTTTTCTTCTCTGGAATCCAACACCACAGGTGACAGAGCACTGCAAAGACAGTAGTGCATGTCAGACTGAGCATGCGCAGGACAACGCACCGACGGAGCATGCGTAGGACAGCCCGCCAAGGGAGTAGTCTCCAAGGCTGATTTTCAGTACATAGGGAACTTCTCATCTCAACTTCTCTTGCCTTTCCTCTCCTTTCCCTCTTTTCCTCCTCCTCCTCCTCCTCCTCCTCCTCCTCCTCCTCCTCCTCCTCCTCCTCCTCCTCCTCCTCCTCCTCCTCCTCCTCCTCCTCCTCCTCCTCCTCCTCCTCCTCCTCCTCCTCCTCCTCCTCCTCCTATTTCACTAATCCCTCCTTTCCTAATTTTCTTCCTTTCTTCACTCCCTTCTTTCTGAGATTAGCAAATAAATGACAGTCATTTATTGTTGTAGAATTTATGATTTCATTTTTTGACATTAGAAGTGATACCTGATTTATTTATTTTTTGTGTATCTGTGTGTGTGTGTGTGCTTACGTGCACACATGAATGTGGGTGGGTGTGCATGTACTTGTAGAGGTCCGAGGACAAGTGTTCTCCTCTACATTATTTTTGAGACACTGTCTCTCACTGAGCCCAGGACTCACCAACTGACTAGACAGATTGGTCAACAAGCCTGGGGATCCAACTGTCTCTACCTCCCCAACCCCGCCATGTAGGATTACAAATGTGTACCACCACATCTTCATTTTTTATGTGGGTGCTGGAGAGCTGACTCAGGTTTTCATGCTTGCATGGCACATACTGTAGTGACTGAGCCTACTCCTCAGCCCTCTAATGTGGTTATACTGTATGTTTCTACAGTAAGACAATGATAAGTAGAGAATGTCAAACAGATATGTGAAATTACTATTGCGCAGTCCTGTCCATAACACCTACAGAAATTAAGTAGTTAGCAATACATTTCACCAAAAGGTAAAAGATCTGTATAATGAAAACTATAAAACATTGATGGAAATAATTGAGATGGATACACGAAAACTGGAAAGAGACCCCATGATCAGAGATTAGGAGAATGGATGTTGTAAAATGTACATATTACCCCAAGCAATCACATACCTAAAGCCATCCCCTTCAAAATGCCAATGATGCTCTTCATAGAACTACTTTTAAAAAAGGGACCCTGCCATACCATTGGTATATAAGAACATAAATTAATACCACCATTATAGGAAGCGGTAGGGAAGTCCTCAAAAAAATTAAACTAGAACTACCATGTGCTCTGGCCATCCCACCACTGGTTATTTATCCTAAGGACATGAAATCAGGATGCTGAAAAAGAACCTGCTTCCCACGCTTGTGTAGTTTATAGCAGCTGAAAGATGAAAGCATAAAAATCCATCACTGATAAGTGGATAAAAGGACTGTGATTTATATCATGGAATACTTATTCAGACCTGAAAAATGGAATCCTGTCACCCGTGACAACATGGGTGAAACTGGAGGTCATTACGTTAAGCAAAATGAGCCAGCACAGAATGACAAATACCAATACAAGAATTCTGTACCCCGAAGAGTCAGGGCAGGGGGCAGGTGGAATGGGGAAAGAGTTGATAAATAGGTGCTAAGTTACAGTGAGGTAGGAGCAGGAGGTTCTGGTGTGTTATGGTCCAGTAGGCTGATTATAACTATCATTAATGGACTGTATATTTAACAAAACTAGAATTTTTTTTTGTTTTTGCCAAAAAGAAATGGTATACCTCTGATGTGATATACATTTGAGGAGATAGGCATGCTTACCTGCCTTGAACAGTCCCCCACACAGACAGATAAATACACACACACACACACACACACAAACACACACACACACACACACACACACACACACTTCATATTTAATGCATCAATGAACAAAATAAAATAGAAAACATGTATGGTTGAGTGTAATTTGAATGTCTCCCAAGATCCATATGTACAGATAGACATGGTTCTTACAGAGGTGCTAATGGGAAGAGCTGTACTTTTAAGGGGTGGGATCTAGATGGAGGCTCTTAGGTCACTGGGAGTATGTCCTTAAAAGAGATTGTCAGACTCTTCCCACCTGTCCTCCCTGGCTCCTGAATTGAGATGTGGCCACTTACTCTTACTATTGCTGTCTATCACACTCCCCAGGGATGAACCATGCAAGCCACAGTGCCTTTGAAGTTCCTCAATTTGTGAGCTACCAAAATCTTTTCCCTTCATGAATTAATTGCTTAGTGTATTGCTGTACTGATGCAAAGCTGACTAATACAGAAAAACTCCATTAAAGAATGACCCAAACTGCTATATACAAAATAACATTAATAATCATCTAAGGTAATGCAGTTTTAATTTAAAACTTTAATGGAATTTATTAAGTGTATTAGGAAAAAACTGAATAAAATTACAGAATCTGTTGATGGTTTGAGTTTTTTTAAAAACCATAATTAATTTCAGAAGGAATACTCTGAAGTTATTACAGAAGATTAAAGAAACATGAAACTTGAATCCTTATTTTAACAGTGTATTTGACTTAAGAGACTATCTAGGGCCTTCTGCTAAGCAAGGCAAGAAAGTAAACCCCCTTCCATTCCTCTACCACTCCTTTCCAATTCCCAGTTAGCTTCCATTACGTCATCGAGATGATGTCAAGACTTCCAGTCTTTACAGTCTTTTCTACACTATCAATGGCTAGTTGACTTGTTTTAATTTTATATTTAAAGAATTTACCATTTACTTTCCGTTTTTAAAAATACTGAAGGTGGGGCTGGAGAGATGGCTCAGGGGTTAAGAACACTGGCTGTTCTTCCAGAGGTCCTGTTTAGCTAGAGTTTTCCTGCCTGGCCCACAGTCAGGACAAATCTCTATCACCTGCCAGTCCCACAGTCGCTCAGACCCGACCAAGTAAACACAGAGACTTATATTGGTTACAAACTGTATGGCCATGGCAGGCTTCTTGCTAACTGTTCTTACAGCTTAAATTAATCCATTTCCATTAATCTATATCTTGCCACATGGCTCGTGGCTTACCGGCATCTTCACATGCTGTTTCTCATCGTGGCGGCTGGCAGTGTCTCTCCGACTCAGCCTTCCACTTCCCAGCTTTATTCTCCTCCTTGTCCCGCCTACACTTCCTGCCTAGCCAATGGCCAATCAGTGTTTTATTTATTGACTAATCAGCAACACATTTGCCATACAGAACATCCCACAGCAGTCCTGAGTTCAATTCCCAGCACTCATATGATGGCTCACAACCATCTGTAATAAGATCTGGTGACCTCTTCTGGTATGAAGGCATACATTGTAAGCAGAACACTGTATACATAATTAATAAGTAAGTCTTTTAGAAAAGAAAAGAAAAGAACTGGTATAATGGTCTTCTTTATAAAAAAAAGAGGTGAATGAATGATTTTTTTGGTCCTCTGGGTTCATCACGAAGGCATATTAGATTGTTCTCTGACCTATTCCTGTTGCCTGTCTACTATGCAGAGAATACTCTGTCAACCTTCTGTCCCTCAAATCCTGCTCTGTTGTTCTCTTGTGCTGAATGCTCATGGCCAAATGTGGGACCCGATAGGGGCTTTTGTTATTGCTCTACTAATCTTTTCTGCTCTTAGACCTAGGGGCTCTTTAGCTAAGTTAGCACCGGGGCAATTGTTCTCCACATTGTATTTCGTTAGCACATGATAGTCCATGATTTGCTCATAAAGTTTTTTTTTAAAGGAAGTCAATGGTTCCATTTTATCTCAATATGTTCCTGTTCCTTTAGTTTTGTTCTTCTTAACCAACACTGTTGAGGCATTATACTTGCCTGCCTCCCATACCCATCAGTGCTCCTAAAGAGCAACATCCATCTTGCTTGGTGGCTCTTTTCCAAATCATTTCACACCATCGATTCCAGCCTGTGTATCACTTCTCTAATCACAATAACTTATTTTATTGTTATTGCTTGTGAAGCAACCTTTGGTTCTGTTTGGTTTTTGTTTATTTTTTTGAACTTCATTATGTTTTGTACAATTTTTATTGCATATGCCTATTATTAATGCATATATAAAATGATTAATATATATGCATAAAATTTCAAAATATAGACATCCCTTTTAGAGCTGAGTCCTCTAAAGGCTCTCATTCCCTGCACATTGTGCAGGTATGGGTCTCTGTGTTAGTTCCCATCTACTGCAAGAAGAAGCTTCTCTGATAAGGGTTGAGTGAGACAATGACCTATGGATATAACAATGCATCGTTTTGTTGCTATGTTCCTTTAGCAGAATAATAGTAATAGCTGAATAATAGTTGTAGCCAGGCAGTGGTGGCACACACCCTTAATCCCAGCACTTGGGAGGCAGAGGCAAGTGGATCTCTATGAGTTTGAGGCCAGCCTGGTCTACAAAGTGAGTTCCAGGAAAGCCAGGGCTAAACAGAGAAAGCCTGTCTCGACAAAAATAAAATAAAATAAAATAATAGTAGTAGGTTTCTCCCTAAAGCCCATGACCTACCTAGTCCCAAGTTCTTGTCCACCTTAGAAGTGTCAAGTATAGGCTTCATCTCATAGAGTGGGCCTTAAATCCAAAGAAAAGTGGTTGGTTAGTTACTCTCATAAGGTCTGTTCTGCTATTGCGCCAGTATAACTTGCTGGCACGTCTCTGTTGTAACGCACAGGGTTTGTGGTTGGGTGATATCGATGTTTACTTTTCTTCTTCAGCAGCATGCAAGGCATCTTCCAACACCACGCATGCTAGTTGGGAGGGGTGAAGCTTCCAGCTGGGTACCAGCTCAATCTCTCCATGTTCGATGATAGTCAGTTATGTCTTCAGCAGTAGGGCTTATCATCAGGTTACAGAGAATAACTAATAGCCTTGGCAACAACCTGTGATGCTTGGGGAGTAGGTCTATGGGACCCCTTTGGCACTGAAGGTTTTATGTGGTGACATAACATGTCTAGTTGGCATTATATGGTGATTCCATTTGAATTGATTTCATATATGTATCAGATAGCATACACAAAATGAACTCCTTGGGGTTTTATGGACTTTTTGTTTTTTA